CTGCTCCTGCCCCGCAAATTGCGCGGTCAGTCGCTGTCGTTCGTCTCTGATTTGAGCCGACCGCAGCGTAATTTTGGTGAATCCTCTGGTATTTAATTATTTTCTCCTCCATCATCCACCTCCTCCTTTTTAAGGCTAATAAAACAGGCACGGAGCTGATGCGCCTGAGAAATCCGGGTGAGGTGAAAAAAACAAACCACCAAGGCAAGGTCGAGTGTCTCTCTCTGCAGGAACAAAACCAAAGACCGTACTGAAAAACACGCGCAGAAAGGGGGAAAAAAGGGGGGAGGGAGGGGGGGAAGGGGGGGAGCAGAAATCTTCCAGGGATCTGGATAGACAAGACCTAAAGATCTGGAAAGAAAAGAGGAAAGAAAAGAAGTAAAAGCAGACGCCTTTCTAGCCCAAAGTCGCCCTTCCCTGCCTTTGGTGACCCAGAAGATTCACTAGAAGCCCACTTCGGGGTATTCAGCCTTGAGGGAGCTGGTGCCGAAAGAGGCAGCTGAGATGATGTAGGAGAGCTGGAGGCCTGATTGAAGGAAAGTTCCCCCGATTATATTTGTGTGGAAAAGCTCACCTCTTGCAGAGCTAAAGTGTAATCAAGGCTGAGGCTTACACTTGAAGGATGTTAACTCTCATACGGGAACCTACTTTCTCCTAAACGGTTTCTTGCCTAGTGAATGAGAGCCTCCCAATTGAAGCAAAATGATCCTTATGTACTAATATCAAGCACAGTCACAAAGCGACCGGCTATTTATGCTGCCACTTTAGACAAAGATATTTAGTTATTCCCGGGTAGCAAGTGCACTTTTGCATTTTTAAGCACGAACCAGCCGAGCACAAACATATTTACAAGTGCAATTACTAAATAGTTACTTGACACTTCAAAGTCACTGGGTTAACTGTACCTTCGCTGTAATTTTCTTAATATTCAGGTAATCGCTGTATTACATGGGGTTTGCCAGGACCGTAGGCCGGGGTGTGAAACACTCGGGGGAGGTTTCTCTCCTGCGCCCGGGAACACCCCGAAATATAAGCTTTGGAGACTCTGGACAACTTGGGAGATTTCTTCAAAGACCCGAGTGACATTAGCTGCTGGCTGCACGTACGTGTGTGTGGCTGTGAATGGGCTCGCTTTTGTTTTCACACCGGATCAGGGAACAGATCCGAAAGTGCCAGAAATTGCAGTTTATTCGAAACTGCTGGGAATTCATTGGCAAGGTGGTGTAGCAGATGACCTGAGAGGTCTTCTCCATCCAGCTCCCGTGCTGTATAAATAACCTTAGAAAGCAGCTTCAGGTTCAGAGGGACCACGAGAGCCTGTGACAGTCTTTGCCTTTGAGAATAACGAGCGATATTTTGCGCTAACCTATTTTTTCAGCAGTCCCTCGCCCCAGGCAATTAAATTACTGCTTGTTTTTGCGAACTTGCATCTTCTTCCACCTCTCTCTGAAGTTAGGGGAAAAAAAAAAAAAAAGCCCTAGGTAAACGGAACTAATGGGTTTAGAGAGAGAAACCATCCTCGCACTGGGGGTCTCGCACTGGGGGTCTTGGCAGACATAGAGAAGGTTCCCGAGATGCTAAATCCCAAGTGCTGTTCAGCCACCAGCCGGCCCGGGGTACCTGACAAGCCGGTGCGGGGAGTGCGGAGCGGTGGCCCAGAGGGAAACGTCTGCCGTCCCGGCGGCGGGGCTCCCTCCAGACCAAACTTAGTGGGGGGAGAGGGGAGGAACTCGGTCCTTTTGCTCACCGGCATTCAGCCCCGTCTCCCCAGCTCTCACAAAGGTTGGGCTGACAGCCTTGCCACCCGGGAGCTGATTTGAAATCCTTTCACCCAGTCAAATGGGGGTCTTTTCGCCTTGCCTTCCATTTCCCGTTCACGATATTGCCACCCCCGAGAAAAATAAAATGAGTTGTGCTCACGGGGTCTCTCTCTCTCTCTTCCCTTCTCTCTCCCGCTCTCTCTCTTTTTTTTTTAAGACATAAAAAAAAAAAATCCTGACAAGTAAAACTTAAAGGTGTTTACCTTGTCATCAGCATGTAAGCTAATTATCTTGGGCAAGATGTAGGCTTCTATTGTCTTGTTGCTTTAGTGCCTATGCCCCGCCTCTGGTGGCAGCCTAAAACCTGGCGTCTGGCTAAAACAAACGAAAGGCAGCCCTGAGCCTCCACTCAATCCAATTAAGGCGGACTTCGTCCACTCGGTTACGTGTACATCCAACAAGATCGGCGTTAAGGCAACACCAGAATATTTGGAAAAAAAAAAAAAAAAAGATTTCCCCCCCCTTTCTTTTTTTTTTTTTTTTTTTTCTCCCCAGCCGCCGAATCATGTCGATGAGCCCAAAGCATACGACTCCTTTCTCAGTGTCTGACATCTTGAGTCCTTTGGAGGAAAGCTACAAGAAAGTGGGCATGGAGGGCAGTAACTTGGGGGCTCCCTTGTCAGCCTACAGACAGTCTCAGGTTTCTCAGCCGGCCATGCAGCAGCACCCCATGGGCCACAACGGAACAGTGACTGCCGCCTACCATATGACAGCGGCAGGGGTCCCCCAGCTCTCCCATGCTACGATGGGGGGCTACTGCAATGGGAACCTGGGCAACATGAGCGAGCTCCCGCCTTACCAGGACACCATGCGGAATAGCGCTTCGGCGACAGGATGGTACGGCACCAACCCGGACCCCCGCTTCTCCTCAAGTAAGTCAGCCTGGGGCTGGGTGGCCGGCGCGG